ATCTGGACTGAAACTCGGGATCACGAGCTACGATGGCGTCGCTGTCCCGACCAAAGGAGGCACAGAAAACGGAGGTGCGAGACCCGGCTACACGTTCAATGGCTAACCCGGCTGCGCAATTTTAGCCTCATGGAGCCTGTAACTGGTCGACTTGGACAACATTTCCAGATTTGGGTGCGATCCAAGACGGTATCTGATGTGACTTACCATTTTCAAAAGTGTGATATGTCCCCTCGAGAAGTCCGCGTTGTTGGGGATCCAGAATGGACGCCTCCGCGGGAGACATGTTGAAAAAAGCAGCATCGAAAGCTCGAGGATCTTCGTTCATGAAGTGAGCTTTTGGAACGCGCATCTATCACAGCCATCAGCTTGGGGTACGAGGAAATAGGCACCGAGCAGACTTACACTGTCCAGACGAGCTGGATCTGAATGGTAGAATGCATCGACATTGAAGCGTGATGTCGGCACTTTTGTTGAAGCATTTCGTGCATTCTGTAGCATGTCCCAAAATGCCTCCGGTGACGTAGCATCTCCAGGAAATTTGAGGTTCAAGCCAATGATGGCTATGGGTTGGGTGTGCTCCGATTTGGGGAAGTCCATGTTGGGGTTCATGTTTAGACTTGGGTTCACTCAAAATCTCCGACAGTTTGGTTCAAAGATCTGCATCTGCTCTAGTGAAGAGACGGACAGTAAAGTATACTTCACCTAGGCACTACTGAATGTAAGTCAAAATTGATGTTGTCCTTTCTGAGCTTGAGGGCGCCTAGATCAAGTGCCGACAACGCCATGCCGGCCTGATTCATTCATCGCCGATATCATATATATTCATGACGAGTTGTTAATTGTGACAGCTTCGTCGATCACAAACGCCGACGTCGTCGGCGAACGTAACCGAATAGCCTGCCGGACACAAGTGCCGCGGTCCCATTGCATATTACAGCCGCTTTGCAAGGTTTGACACTTTCTTGGAGCCGTTCACGAAGTTTCGGATTTCGTTATACTGACTGTTATGAGTGGATTGGTGTTCCGCTATCCGCGAACTAATGCAAGTCGGACCGAGTCATTACCCTTTTGCGACCGTCCAGAATCGAGTGTTGTCCAGTCAGGTTTGAAACTCGCGCAATAGTGTTTGTGACTGAGCTTCTTGAGTCTGATAATACCCACCCACTTTCCGGGACGTCAGTCTTCAACATCAGACAACATCTGGATTTAAACTTCAGCTTCCTTCCAAGTTGGTAAGTTCCGCGGCAAAGATACCTAACCTAGTAAGTGGGCTTCCAGAACTATGAGGGTTACATGGATCATAGCTCCTTGTTCACAAGACAGCATTGACAGCAGCGGAGCCTCGGTTTCGTATCAGGCGAAACTTTATACCACATCACGACTTGGATCCGACCTGACTGACTACAACACATCACAAACACCATTGGACTTGTTTCCGACATAACTGCGAGGCAGCTTCTGACAGAATCGGTTCGGTTCCTTGACTTGACAGAATATCATTTTTCCTCATAACGTCGTCATGGGCAGAGCTGAGTTCGGCAACGCAATTTACTTCCCACTGTTTCTCCAGTGGTTTTACGACACCCTCGTCCTTGGGTTCATCTGCCCCCGCGCCTGGGGATGTCCCGAGGATGTTCTTCAGGGACACTACAGCAAACACGTCAGCTTCCTTTCTGGCGTCCCCCGTCCCCGCCTGCTTGACATTGGCGTTGGCACAGGCCACTTTATTGAACATGCCCCTCTGGCATCGGGCACAACAGTGATCCTAGCCGATATCAACGAAAACCCCCTCGCCGAGGCTCGAGGACGCATCAAACGCACACACAAAGATGTGGATGTTGATGTGGTCCTAGCAGATGTCTTTGAACTTGGTGACGACAAAACATCATCATCAGTTCGTTTGTCTGATGCAGGAGGGAATGGGAGTTTCGACGTCATTTCCTGCATGTTGCTTCTTCATTGCCTCCCAGGAGAAGGGCGCCGTAAAGGAGAAGCAGTCGCGCGCCTGTGCCGACTGTTGAAACCTGGCGGCGCCGTTGTTGGCGCGACTGTCCTCGGCTCTGGAGTAAAGCACAATACTTTCGGAAGGCTGCTAATGTCTCTTTATAATTTCTCGGGTGTCTTTCATAATGAAGGAGACTGTACGGGTGACATCATTCGGCCTCTTGAAGCGGCTTTTGAGAGTGTGGAATTTCGAGTGGTCGGAACTACATTGCTCTTCGAGGCAAAGTCACCGAGAACTCCCGGTGTAGCTTATAACTTCTAGATCTTATATAAAGCCCATTTGATATTTATTGCCTCGTATCACTTCAGCTGCTGCACTGCTATCATTCTTGATGTGTTCGTTCGTATAAGTCACAGGCTGTGAATCTGAACCTTTTAAACGCTCATCAATACCATTAGTGCAATTCTGACAAGAATTTTGTTAGTCAGGCAGATAGTGATTACAGACGAGAACAGACAAGATAATAATATTGCTAATGATAGGGACCATCTTAGAGGAAGACAAAATAATAAAAGAAATGCGGAGGGGCGAGAGAAGCCTTCCGGGAACTGTTATTTCGAGGTTGCTAAAAAGAAAAAGAAAAACAAAAAGCGAAAATGGACAATGGTCTTTGAACATCACTCAATAAATCTCAAATCAACACTTCCTCTAGGAGAGAGAGTAATTTCACTCGCCATGCGCAGTCGTGTGCCGACAAATCTTTCTATCCCTTCAGGCTCTGACCCTTTTCTTGTCCAACCCGACTCATTTGATTGGACTTGACCCGGCGAGACTCCTAACTGCACATTCTTGTATCGTTGGAATACACGTACTAACACATATGCCATCTCGGTCAGAGCTAGCTGTTGTCCAACACAGATCCGAGGACCGCCATTGAACGGAATGTACGTCCACGGTTTCGGGGTCCACGAATCCCAACGGCGAGGGCAGAACTCATCAATCGGTGCGAAGTCATACGCATTGAGGTCTTCTCGAAGCTGCAAAACATGGGTGGAATAGATGACCTGAGTGCCAGCGCGAACGCCAACTGGGCTGTTCCCATCTGGACCCCCGCCGCGTGGCAAGTTTGTGTCTTTTACGGCTGCTCTGATGTTGAAAGGTGCATTAGGGTACAACCTCAGAGTCTCGTTGAGTACATGAGTGGCGAAAGTCATGCTCTTCAGGTCTTTGTAAGTTGGCTCCCGAGCTGAGTCGCCAACGCCAACCGTAAGTTCAATTTCACGCCGAAGATCAGCTAGGACGTCGGGGTTCCTGGCTAGCTCATAAAAGGCCCAAGCCATGGTTGTAGCAGTCGTGTCACGACCCGCTATGAGAATAGCAACCATTTCGTCTCGAAGCCAGCGTTTGTCTCGGGAGACAGAGGCGCATGCATGAAGAAGCGTCCAGCCATGATCTGTCTTATCCATCTCCTCGAGCTCTTCTGCAGTCATAGAAACTGCCTTTTCAATTGTTGGTTTCATAAAATCATTTAGAGTCTCCAGGTCCTGGCGAAACTGGCGTCGAGGGACGAGAAAGTTCAGAGGGCCCAATCGTTCTATCAAGGATTGAATGTGGCGGATACGTTCGAAAGCGTCGAAAAACTCGTCATTTTGGTGACTTGTCAGCGAATTGACCTGTCGTCCCAAGGAAAAGTCCGCCGATACATCAAGTGCAAATCTGCTCAAGATGTCCTTCACATCGACGGTGCGGCCTCCGCCCAACATGGGAATCATGTCTTGAACATGGCGCTCGAAACAAGCGAGGTCACTGACCCGTTGGCGGGTGAAGAGCGAACGAAGTCGTTGGCGAGACTCATGCCAGGCGCTTCCGTCCACGTTGAAGATTCCGTTCCCCATAAGATCGAACCAGTCTTTTCTGAACCTTTCGCCTTTCCCAAAGTCATTGAATTGCGTTGCTAACATGGCTCGAATGTTCTCGGGATCAGAAGTAAACAGCGTGCGTGAGCCAAGCATGTTGACCTCGAAAGTGTAAGGATTCTTTTTTCCTCTTCCAGAAATACGGAAGGTGTTGTGCATGAATTTGAGATTTTGATCTTTCAAAGCGTATGATGTGATCGACAAGAGGAAGTGAATTCCAGACAACCATTCTGGTGAGCATTAGCCATATGTCGCCAAATACCGGACCTGATTATGTGAGAAATGAAATCTACTTACCGATAGGCGTATAAGATTGGAACTTTTGGGCATGTCCACCCAATTTTCCGATGATCCTCTCTCCCCGTATGGCAAGGGCAACATGTCTCATTAGGATAGCACTCAAAGCGCCAACTATGAGCCACGCTGTATAAGACATGGACATACCATTTGAAAACACTTTGCTTTCCATGATCTCTGTGTCTTCAGAGGTTCAGATAACAATGTGACAAAGAATCTAGACAATATGCTTGTGCTGGCACTGTGTGACCGATCTAAACAGCAAGCTCAATCAGCTGTGGTAAACAAGCAGCAGTACAGGATGGACTTGGTCAAAGGACCTCGCTTCTGGCATCGGCGACCATCTTCGTTTCCTCGGAATTTCCCAAACCTTATTCCAAGGCTGATAAGTCCGCCAACATCACCTGAATTTATTATACTTTGAGGGGCGGTCTCGAAACCTGGCAATTGCGTCTTTTGAACGGGAAGTGGATCAAAATGATATGACTGATCAGAATTGTGACGTTGAGTAGAGTTTGCCAGCATTATAAACCAAGGGCGTCGCATCCCACAACGCACTTACTTCAAGTCGGCAGATTTGGAAAGTATGTTCCTTGTTCCGCTTGGCCCCTGCGCATCTGCAACTCGTGCTTGACATCCCGCAACTTTCGGAAACAGAAGTTGACTCGGGTCCCATACCAGGATCAGAGCTATGGGACAAGGGACCAGCTCTAGCTCGCATTGTCGACCGAAACAAGCACGATCACAGCTTCAAAAGAGCTTTACGCTGGGCGCGCTGGAACGCATCTAGAGGCAGTCAGGAGCAACCATTCTCCCTTTCGCTTCTTACCACATCACCAATGTCTTCCACTCTTGTTATTGTATTTCTTTGCGCTAGTTATGCTCTATACTCACTGCTGTGCTTGATTCGAAACATTCGAATCGCCAAAACCATTGGCATCCCAGTGGTATGGAGCCCCATCAGCCCATTCAACCCGTTTTGGATCATCTTCAATAAACGGCTGTCCCCGATTATCCAACGTCTCCCTCTCAGCCTGGGAAACTGGACTCAGCACAATGCGCTAGACTGGACCTGGGTAGACCGCGTTCACCGAGACTCACAAGTCCATGAGAAGCTCGGCGATACCTTCGCTCATGCCACTCCAAGGGAGATCGAAATACACACACGCGATCCTGCTGTCGCTGACGAGGTGTTACGGAAACGTGCCAATGAGTTCCCCAAAATAAGCCACTATGCCAGCAAGCTACACCCAAACTTTCCCAAAGTTTCCTCGAAGAGATGTTTGCTGACAACCATCGTCACAGAGGTGCTCGATTTTCTTGGAACGAGTCTTGTCTCGTCAGATGGCGAGGACTGGGTTCGCCATCGCAAAGCCACCGTCTCTACACTGAGCGACAGGAATAATCGACTTGTCTGGACCGAAACCGTCAGGCAGACGCAGCAGATGATTCAGCACTATTTCTCAGCCTCGAGTGGTCGCATCATTGACCCCGTAGAAGACGTTCGAGAGGTGTATCTCCACGTTTTCACAGGTGTTTGCTTCGGTGTCAAGTACGACTTCCGCCAAGCCGCAGAAAAGTACATACCGGAAGGTCATTCACGCAGCTACAAGGACTGTCTTCACACCAGTCTCAAGGACTTGCTCATTCTCCGGCTGGTGCCAAAGTGGATCTTGGATCTGCCCGTCTTGCCACACAGGATTAGCAACTTTCGCGATTCCGCGCGTGAAATGCGCCAATATCTCGACGAGATGATTGCTTCTAGTAAAGAGGAGCTGGAAGAAAAGGGGATAAGAAGACGGACTCAGACGGATAATCTTCTAAGCTTCATGGTTAAGAGTAATGGCGAGATTGAGGCCAAGAACGCGAGTTCCGAGGCGAGTTTGAAGCGGAACTGTCTTACAGAGTCAGAGATCCGTGGAAATCTCTTCACTTACTCACTCGGTGGGCACGAGTCGTCCGCTCATACCTTGACTTTCGCGCTCTATCTCCTTGCAGCTCTTCCAGAAGAGCAAGAGTGGCTGGCAGCAGAGACCACGTCAGTCCTTGGCCAAAAGACAGATTGGCAATCTGAAGAATCATTCATGGAAGTGTTCCCTCGCTTGAAGAGATGCCAAGCTGTGATGGTGAGTGCCACAATAGAGCCTTCATGTTTGACTTGGACTCACAGGGTGATTCCAGAATGAAACCTTGCGGCTCTTTCCATCGGTCACTGTGCTGCCGAAATGCACCGGTTCAGAGTCCACGACACTTCCCGTCAGCGGGAGCGATCGACATATCCCGCCAAGTGTCAATGTCTACGTTAACATGCCCAGCATTCAAATACACAAGCCAGTTTGGGGCCCGGATGCGACATCATTCAGACCAAGCCGTTGGATCACTTCATCACAATCACTTGCAGGGCTGGAAAACGAGCAGCTCCGGGCTCCCCCTGAGGGCGCATTTCTGCCGTGGAGTGACGGCAAGCGTATCTGCCCCGGGAAAAGGTTCTCTCAGGTGGGCTTTGTGGCAGCGCTTGCGGCAATCTTGCTCAAGCATAGGATTGAAGTTGTTCCTGATGCTGGGGAAAGCATGGATGACGCGCGTAAACGAACGCTTCGAGTGGTCAACAACACGTATGCTGTCATGACTGTTCACATGTATGAGCCGTCATCTGTAAAGCTAGAACTTATCAAGAGATAGTAGCCGAGTTTACGGCAATTCAGTATTCAGTATCCACGGCTTTGACTTGAACTCTCGTTGTTTCGGGTTCTGTAAAGACGATGGTGACGACAGCGACGACACTGATGACGAGGAAGATATGCTTCCTCTCACTACAAAGCTCACATTCCTGCACAAAACGCTCTATGTGGTTAATACGGGGTAGAGATTAATGAATCAGACAAAGGATCGGTCTACGAGCTTAGTCCCTGAAGTTTCCTGTGCACGGTTCAGAATGAATCGCAACGACCTCCCACCGGCCCTTTCGCAACTTTTGCTTCTCGGCAATCGCCCACTTCAGTCCAAACTCAGAAACTTTCCTTGACAAGTGGAAAATCGTCTAGTATTAAGAGCCGCTCGCTTAATTCGGCATCCCTTGACATCTGGGCAGCTTCCATGAGGAAGCGTGAGCAGACGACTCGCGGCAAAAACAAGGGTTGCTGTGTCAGCGTTATATCAGCTTGATAATAGGTTTCGGAATACCTTCAGCCCTAGAGCTAAAAGAGTGGAAAAGATAAGCATTGACGATTCGGCCGAAACGTGTATAGGGATGGATGGGGTTGCCCGCCGAAGGGTGTCAACAGGATGAGATATGTCCAGGGTACCTTCACGAAGGATCATGGCCGCATGTTTGATCACTTTTGGGCAATAATTGAAAGTCTTGTCTCATGGTCTGTTTCTACGCTGGTGAAAAGTCTCCCTCCAATGCACCTCTGATGTTGTTGCATTTATGCGTCCACCAACGCTGGAGTCATTCGGACAGAAACACTTCGCCAGTTTGTTTCTATCAAATGCTGCATACCTATTGTGTTGGGACAAGAACCCCCAGAAGACCCAGAGCAGTTGAAGCCTGAAGAAACACCACACGCATCAATGAAGCAAGAAGGAAACGAAGCTGTGGTAGAGCATGCGCGCTCCTCAGTTGAGGTCTTCTCTGCTCCTCCTGAGCTCGACAGGCACTCGACTGGAGAAGACTCAGTCGCTGCTGAAGACAAACGAGAGCCCATTCTCATCACATGGGATGGGCCGAACGACCCCCGCAGCCCCAAGAATTGGCCTTCAAAAAAGAAATGGGCAGCAGTATTCTGTGGTAAGTTGGCTTGAACTCAGGACATGACCGTCCATGTACTCACAAATCACCGTCAACAGTCTCATTCTACACCCTCCTCTCGCCAGTGTCCTCATCCATGGTCGCGCCCGCCCTGGAAGCAATAGCCCACGACCTCACCATTCCTTCCGCCTTTGAACAGATCCTCGTCCTCTCTATCTTCGTCCTCGCCTACGCCCTTGGGCCCCTCATCTGGGGCCCTCTCTCCGAGCTGTACGGTCGCATCATCATCCTCCAGCTCACAACTCTGCTCTACATGGCTTTCAATCTCGGCTGCGGCCTCGCCACCACAAAAGCCCAACTCATCGCCTTCCGCTTCCTCGCAGGCTTCGGCGGCTCGGCGCCCATGGCCGTTGGCGGCGCCGTCTTTGCAGACCTCTTCAACGCCGAGGAGCGCGGGCGGGCTATATCGATCTACTCGCTCGCGCCCCTGCTGGGCCCGGCCATCGGCCCCATCGCGGGCGGCTTCATCACGCAGGAGACCACCTGGCGCTGGATCTTCTACAGCACCACCATCTTCGCGGGCCTCGTCCAGGGGATCGGCTTGTTCGTGCTCCAGGAGACTTGCGCCCCGGTCCTTCTGGTCCGCATTAAGAACCGTCTCGTCAAGGAGACGGGCAACACCGCCCTGCACACCGAGTTCGACAACCCGGAACGCACCGTCATTCGCGCCCTCGCTGGTGCTCTCACACGCCCCTTCCGCCTCTTCGGCACACAGGTCATCATCCAGGCGTTGGCCGTGTACATGATGTACCTCTACGGCATTATGTACCTCGTCCTCTCCACCTTCTCGGCCCTCTGGACGACAAGGTATGGAGAGTCGACCGGCATCAGCGGGCTGAACTACATCTCGCTTGGCCTCGGCTTCTTCCTCGGGGCTCAGACATGCGCCAGGTTCCAGGACCGCGTCTACATCGCTCTCAAGAAGCGCTATGTCCCCGATGGCGGCCCTGGGAAGCCAGAGTTTCGCGTGCCGATGATGGTTCCTGGGGCGGTTCTCGTGCCTGTTGGGTTGCTGATGTACGGATGGTCTGCGCAGTACAAGGCCCATTGGATCCTACCCAACCTTGGCGCGGTGCTGTTCAGCGCGGGCGTCATTGTAGGGTTCCAGGGCATTCAGGCGTTCTTGGTCGATACGTACACGAGGTATGCCGCGTCTGCCATCGGCTCGGTCATGGTGCTGAGAAGCGTTGCTGGGTTTGGGTTTCCGTTATTTGCACCGGCTTTGTACCATAGGCTGGACTATGGATGGGGGAACACGCTGCTGGCATTGATTGCCGTCGGTATTGGTTTGCCTGGCCCTATTCTATTGTGGGTGTTTGGGGAGCGGCTGAGAAAGAGGAGTCAATTTGCCGCTGGCTGAGGATCCTCTCATCGTTGTCGTAACTCGAGTATCAATAAGGATGCACTAACTAAAAGGAGTTGGCTGATTTCCGCAATCATCAAGCGTGGATCCTGACAGGAGGCAAGCAGCGTATAAGTGGTACAAATATCTTGATTGACTATGATGACACCGCAAAAGAGCCGCAAGTCTACTTAGCAGAGCAGCTGGCATTCTTGCACTTGCGACTCCAGACAGGGCACACAGTGAGGCGTTATTGAAGTAAGGCCACATGCTCATGCTATTTCATAACAACCAGACCTCTAAGCCAGCTACCTAAAGCCAAGTTCCGTGAACGCCATAGACCGTTTGCCCTTCATTTTTGTCGAACGGGCAGGTGAAGCCAAAATAAATCGATTCCCGATAGAGTGCTTTTGTAAGTGGTATCTCGTTCTTTTTTCAGATAGAGTGTGCCGTTCGCGAGGTTGTTTCCATTCTTCTCACATAACCTATGCGGCGACCTCAGTCTTGGTGTCGACCTTCTTCGCCTCGGGCTGAGCAGCGGCTCCGTCATCTTCACGGGCGCGCTTGCCGTTGTTGTTCTTGTCTTCCGCGACGGGCTCGCCCTTGTCGTTGGTGGCCTGGATAGTAGGCTTGCCGCTGTAATGGAGGTTAGTAAGATAGTCAACGGCCAAGTTTGGGGTGAAGACATACGCGTTGCGGTCGTTGCCGCGCTCATTGGGATCCCTGCGGTTCTCGTTGTCACGTCCGCCCCGGCGATCACCGCCACGGCCTCTGCCACGGCCTCCACGGCCACCGCGACCTCCACGGCCTCCCCTGAAGCCGTTCTTCTGGTCGTTGTCGCGGCGCTCCCTCCAGTTGTCCTTGTTGTTGTTGCCGCCACGGCCACCCCTGCGGTTGCCATCCTTGCCGTCCTTGCCCTCAAAGAAGCGGCGCGACGTGTTGGGCTCGAGCTTGCCAGCGTGGATGAGGGCGCTCTTCTCCTTGACGTACTCGGTCTTGGGCATGATCTTCAGGTCGTGCTCCTTCCACTGGGGCTTGGGGTCGAGGGCGAGGAACTTCTGAGCGGCCTCCTCATCGGGGAACTCGACGAACACGGAGCCCTTGAAGAGCTTCTCCTGGGTACGGCGGAGACGGACAGAGTTGATGGGGCCGAACTTGGTGAAGAAGGCCTCAAGGTCGAACTGAGTAGAGGGCTCCTCGTCGCCGAAGCCCTTGACGTAGACGCAGCGAGCGTTGAACCTATCGTTACCAGGGGTGTAAGGCTGCTTGCGCTGGATCGTCTCCTCTCCCTCCTCGCCAGCAATCACGAGGGCGGGACTCTCCTTAAGAGCAGCGACAACGGCGGAGTAAGGCTGGAAGCGGCGCATGCGCTTGAAGGAGGTGATGGTCTTGAGGGGAATGGCCTTGTTTTCGAAGCCACCAGTGAGCTCCCACAGGTACTTGTCATGGGGCAAGTTGCTATCTGACAGGTAGAACTCGACCTTTTCGCCAAAACGTTAGCTCGTTTGTCAACGACAGGCATCCTTGCAGAGAGCGCCTTACCTGCTTGCGGATCTCCGCCGGGTCATCTGTTTCCTTGAGGAGCGAAGCATCAAACTTGACGTTGTTCGAGTGGTTCTTATCGTCGATCTTTGCAGTCGTCTTGAGGACCTCAGGCTCCTCCTTCTTCTCCTCGGGCTTCGCCTCGCTCTCTTCAGGCTTGGCCTCGGCCTCGGTCTTAGCAGGCTCCTCGGTCTTCGCAGGTTCCTCGACCTTCGCGGTCTCCTCAGCCTGGGCGGGCGCCTCAGCGGCGACAGCCTCGATGGGCTTGGTTTCCTCGGCGGCGCTCATTGTGTGGCGAGTCGAGATTCAAGTTGGAAAAAAGTAGTCTGCACGAGGGACAATTAACGATGAAATTCCTCAAAAAAGAAGTACTCGGTCGGGAAACAATGACTCCGTCGCGTATGACTGGATGAGTAACACGGCGAAAGGTGAATTGAGGCTGGGAAAGGAGGAAGAATATTATGTGGCGGGGTACGGTCCTCGACCCCAAAGAGTCAGACAGCAGGGTAACGTGAGTAATTCGGAGACAGGAAAAAAAGAAAGCTTACAGTTTAACAATCGGACCAATGCGATTCGGCGACCGTGGTTCGAGACGTGGGTGAGGGAGAGAAACAAGGCTGTGTTGCTGAAGAAAAGTTGCTTCGTTTCTCGTGTGGATTTTATTTGGCAGCGCGAGAAAGCAGAGAGCAGGCCGTTTCCCCAGCGAGGATTTTGCGACGAGAATTCGCATGCACGAGCAACAGCTCCAGTTTCTGCCGCAGCAGGTTGCGCGCATTCGATGCACACCGCCCGCAGCAAGTCCCACTTGGTAAGGTGGGGAGACTGAAAAAATTGACCACACGGGTGGCAGGTGAAAGGTGAATCGCGAGAGGCGCCGGTACGTACCAGGACCACCCCATCCAGGGACTCTTGCTCCAAACACAAGCCCAAGACTTTGCTGCTGCCTTAGGTAAGCCAACGAGAGCTTTCCACCCCTCAAGCGCGCGTTGTGGGATGTGCGGTACGTACCGAATTCTTGTGTGCGGGAGATGCCGTTCCATCACCAAAAATTCGGTCTCGACGTCTCGTGCTCCTGAAGCTGTCGCCATCCCTCCGGCCCTACGAGTGCGATCACGTCCCCGTCGACACCACAACTAGCCCAAGATGAGAGCAAGAAAGCCGAGGTGGTACAGCCTTCAGGCCATGGTATGACCCCGAACAAACCATATTCCCCCTCGCAGGAGCGTCAATTGAAGCACACACAACTTGCGAGGCCGCCCTCCTCGACCTCTACCTCATGCGATGCTTCTATCTATACCACGCCGCACACAACACCCTGGCTGTAAACAAAAACCGCTGACCACTATTCTACCGCCAGAAAGTCCGCCAGTCATGGAACAAATATAATCTATACAACATGCTGATGACAAGGCTCAAACCTTTTCGCTTTAAGCAAACTCATTTCCAGCAAAAATGGGCGGCCAAGTCACTCACCCGAGGCTACCACGGCGCCAACATCAAGGAGTCCGACTGGTCTCGCATGTTCTCTCGCCGCCTTTACTCTGCCGTTGACATGCCCCCGGCCTACCTCGCCAAGTACGACGGCTCCGAACAGGCTGGCGGCCGCGGTTCCGGCCGCAGAGACCTGGATGTCAACGCCGGCTCGTTCTCCCGCTCCGAGAAGGAGCGCAAACAGCGCATCATCTCAGACAAAGAGGACAGTCTTCCTTGGGTCCATCCCGTCCAGGCCAGGAGGGACGACTTCGCAGAACTCCTAGGCAGACCCGTTAGGCATATGACGCCCTACATGCAAATGGCGTTTGCGCCGCTCGAGAGGAGACTAGACGTGGCCATCTTCCGTGCCATGTTCGCCAGCAGTACCCTCCAGGCGAAGCAATTCTGCACACACGGCGCCGTCAAGGTCAACGGCAAGACGGTAAGCTTTCCCAGTCGCGTTGCACACACTCGACTCGGCCTTGACGACGACTAACACCGCCCCTCTTTTCAGATGCGCTATGGTGCCTACCTCCTGAACCCAGGCGACATGTTCCAAGTCGACGTAGACTCCGTTCTCTATGCCACTGGCCGACCCAAGACCCCCTTACACGCAAAGTGGCTCGCCGGCGAAGACTATGAAACTCTCCGGGCTGCAAAGAGGGAGGAATACCGTAACAAGAACGACAGCTCAGAAGCAGCTGCTGAAGCCCCGGCTGAGGCCGAAGCCGAGGCCTCCGAAGAGAAAGTCGAGGCTGAGTCTGCAGCCAAGGCCGAGGGCGAGGAAGCAGAGGGTGAGGGCGAGGGCGAGGTAGCCAAGGCCACAGAGGAGCTCACCGAGGAGCAGCGCGCCGCGCAGCAGAAGAAGCAGCTCAAGGGCCTCATCAGCTCCGCCAAGGCACTCCTCTACGACGGCAACGGCCTCAACCCTCGCAAGAAGCGCCAGCTCCGCGCCTTCACGAGCGAGGTCAAGCGCGCCCTCTCCCAGGCCGGCCGCACCGCCGAGAGCGCCACCATCAGCCCCGACAACGTCATTGACCACCTCTCCTCCATGCTCAAGGACTTCAAGCTGGAGGGCAACCAGGTCGAGGCCATCACTTCCCCTGAGCAGGAGCAGCAGCAGCAGGAGCAGCAAGAGTCAGAGAAGGCGGAGCAAAAGGTCAGCGCCAAGAAACAAGAGACCAGGGACACCATCAAGGAGCTCATCACCAGCGACGAGGTGCGCGAGGCTGTCAAGGGCCTGTCCCTGGCCGAGCAGACGGCTCTCGCAAGCCTGCTCCGCACCAACGCCGAGAACCCCATCGACGAGTCCAAGCCGTACTGGACCCCCTGGGAACCCCGCCGCTACATGACCCCCTTCGCCTTCATCCCTCGCTACCTCGAGGTGAACCAGAACATCTGCGCCGCCGTCTACCTCCGCCACCCCGTCGCCCGTCGTGGTTTCGCCGAGGTGCCCACGCCCTTCTCTTACGAGATAAACCAGCTTGCCTTTAACTGGTACTTGAGGAGGCGGTAGACGCTTTGTTAATGATGTTTGGTTGGTGGATGAAGGACGTGGCGGTGGCATCGCCCCTGAGGAAGGGTCCAGGCGGCATTGTACAACAGGATATAGACCCCGAGCTTCTACGACCCGAATGTCAAGGCTTAGACGTAGTCTTATATGTACATCATCTTTGGTAGAGGAAATGAAAGACTCTGCCCTTCTCCACGTTGCTTTCAGCTCACCCTCGAATCTATTGTCCCTATGTTGTTGATCATGTGCTACTCGATATTTATTGGTCGTCATCGACATACTCTGCAGAGGACGGAAATCTCCTGTTCGTTTCTAGCATAGACACCGCCCATTTTGCCGGAAACTTTCATGTCCTACGACGAGAAGTTTTCAGACGTCAAGTAGTAAAAAAATGGTAGAAAGACAGCGATGGCAGACACGACGATAGAAGAGGTCACGAGGATAGGGACGAGAGTAGAGACACCGGGAATACAGGCGCCATGGTAGTTGAAAAACGCTCCGCCCAGCTAAATGTTTTTGCCCTAGATGTTCATCGCACTCAGGGTCTTCGGTTTTCTTAGGCGGATTGGAAGGCAACGAGCGTCAACTACGAGACATCAGTCAGGCACAGGCAAGGACACGAGGAAAGCGTCTTGACAATACTAACCTCAAGTATAGCTGATTGACCTGGAAGGGTTTAGGAATCACGACGATAGAGACGGCAAGATAGACAAATTCTGGGAAACAACCCTTTTCGAACCACACAGGAACTAAGCTAACAAAGAGAGTAGACGTCAAGGAAATCAAATGCCAAGTAAGTGAAGACGCCTGTCATGCCAGACCGTCTCCTACCCCTCCCTCTCCGTGACCTCATCCGAGTAAAATACAACATCAAGGGGTAATTTGCTAGACATAAGTGGGCTCCTCCATCCAGCGTGTGCCTCTACCCGCTCACCACATTGTGCGTCCACAGCGAGAGATATTAGCTGGTTCGACACCAGAAGGCGGCAAGAGTATTGAGCGTGGCGTCATAGATTATAAGAAAACCCTATTCCGAGTGGCAAGTCTTTGCGAAAGAAATGAAACCACGAGGATACTCTGCTAGCGCAAATGTGTTCGCCCAACCGACCCCATGTTTCTCCCCGAGGTCCTCCTCTCCCATGTCCGCCACAGTATGATAGGATGCGGCAAGTAGGACTACTGTTCCCGAGAACGCCTCATCGCCAGAATCAAGCCTCGCAGAAGCAATGACTCCTCGTGTTTGCTTTCGCGTCTTTCCCTCCATAGTCGGCATCAAAACCCCTTGCACGACTGCTTCGCAAAGACTTTTTGGTGATGTTGGGTTTCCGTAAGTGATTAGATGAGGGTTGTGATTAAAAGAGGTCGAGAGAAAAAGGGGTGATAAGAAAGAACAAGAAGAGAACCGACAAAGAGGCGCGTTGTGCTGGTATTGTATGGGCATCATGGGTACTTAGACATGGGTCGTAGAAAGAAGAATGCGAACAAGTGGCGTCAAGAGACCGGCAAAGAAGTCTTAGCGGAGCGAGAAACCCTTCCGCTTGCCTTCCTTCTCGATGGGCCGGCCGCTTTCGACCCTTTGCTTCTTCTCCTCGAGCTCCATGCGTTGGCGCTCGAGCTGCTCCTTCATCTCCCTGTGGCGTGAGTAGAGCTCCTCTTCGCTCTGCTTCAGCTTGCTCTCCTTTTCGGCGACCTTCTGCTGGAAGACCATCTTCATCTCGGCCTCCATCTTGGCGAGCTTCTGCTCGTGCAGGTGGCGCTCCTCCTCCTGCTTGACGGCGGGGTTGACCTCCTTGAAAACGCTGGGGTCCTGGGACACGCCCATGCCAATGAGCTTGTCGGTACGGTAGTTCTCGTACAGGCTGTTGTTGGTGTGCTCCTTGAGCTCCTCCATGTGTGTGCGGATAAGCATCTGGCGAAGCTTGACGAAGTCGCAGTGCTCCTCGTTGTCGACCTCAATCACACCCCAGGGGTATGAACGGCCGCGAACCTTGCGTCCATCCGCGTTGGTGATCTCGTTGGTAGCACCGACAACAGCGAACGGGACCTTGGACATGATTTCGTTGTTCTCAGCAATGGTCTCCTCATCATCGAGCTCGTAGCGAGGGCCCTCGAAAATCTGGATACCGTGGTACTTGATGTCGGACAGAATCTGGAGAGGTTAGATTTTGAGCTGTAGGGGGGGGTTGAATGGGACATACTCTGGACTTGAAGTTGGCAATCTCCTCGTCGGTAAGGGTGTCAGCCTTAGCAATGACGGGGATCAGGTTGACCTTGGTGTGAAGGCGACGCATGACCTCAATGTCGAGAGGCTTCAGGGAGTGGCCAGTGGGCTGGATGAAGAAGACACAGGCATGGATGCGGTTGTCAACGATGTTCATGCGATTGACCTTGTTCTCGGCGTCGAGGTATGCGTCGTAACGCTGCTCGATGTTGTCGACAATCGGGCGCCACGACTCGTCGTTGTTGACGAAGTCGCCAAAGCCGGGGGTGTCGACGACGGTCAGACGGAGGCGGACGCCAGCCTCCTCAATGTCGGCGCTGATGGACTGAATGGTAACAGTCTTCGGGATAATGTCGAGGCTAGGTCCCTTGCGCTCCTTGGGAGGGTAGAGGGAAGTGTTGAAGAGGGTGTTCACAAGGGTGGACTTTCCGAGGCCAGATTCACCTGTACGCCACTTGTAAGGGAGTGTTCGAGACGAAACGAAGCTGTCTAGAAGAGACTTACCAACAACCATGACGTTGAA